TTAGAATACCCTAAGGTCCATCCACGGAGGAGCCTGGTGGGCTGCAGTCCATGGGGTGGCACAGAGTCGGACACGACTGAAGCCACTTAGCAGTAGCAGCAGCAAGGTCCATCCATGTCACAAATGGCAGGATTTCCTTCATTCTCATAGCAGAATAATATTCCTTTGTGTATATATACATTCCATATCTTCTTTATCCATTCATCAGTTGATGAGCACTTTAGCCTATCAGGTCTTATAAGTTTTTGATCTATTTTGAGTTAATTTTTATGAGTGGAATAAGAGAAGTCCAATTTCTTTTTTCTGCATTTGTTTGTTCAGTTCTCCCAATACCCTTTGTTGAATAGCCTACCCTTTTCCCATTGGGTGTTTTTGGTTTCCTTGACTAATGTCAGTTGGCATGTATGTAAGGGTTTAATTTTGGGGTCTCTATTCTGGTGGTCTCTGTGTCTATTTCTATGCCAGTAACCATGCAGTTTTAATTACTATGGTTTATGGTATAGTTTGAAATCAGAAAGTGTGATGCCTCCAGCTTTCTCTTTGTAATTTCTCTTTCTCTTGTAATTGTTTTGATTGTTGGGGGTCTTTTGTGGTTCTAGACAAATTTGGGGGATTTTTTTCTATTTCTGTGAAAAATGCCATTTGAATTTTGATAACAATTGCACCGAATCCTACAAAGATGGCTTTGGGATCTTTGTTAATTGTTTACTTTTTAATTAATTATTAAAATTAATTTTAACGATACTAATTATTCCAATTCATGAGTGTGGGGATATCTTCCCATTTGTTTGTGTCACCTTTGATTTCTTTCAACAAAATCTTGTAGTTTTAGTTGTATAGATCTTTCATTAAATTTATTTCTGGTATTTTGCTTTTGATGCTATTGTGCATGTATGTGCTCAGTCGTGTCTGACTCTTTATGACCCTATGAACCATAGCCCACCAGGCTCCTCTGTCCATGGCATTCTCCAGGCAAGAATATTGGAGTGGGTTACCATGCCTTCCTCTAGGGGATCTTCCCCACTCAGGGATCAAACCCACATCTCTCTTGTCTCCTGTATTAGCAGGCAGATTCTTCACTATTAGCACCACCTGGGAAGACCATTGTGAGCGGGATAGTTTTATTTTTCAGGTGTTTCATTATTAGTGTATAAAAATGCAGCTGATATCTATAAGATGATTTTGTATCCTGCAACTTAACTAAATTTGTTGATTAGTTCTAACTATTTTATTGGTTGAGACTTTGGAATTTTCTAAACTGTCATCCCTTGGTATCTGTGGGGGACTGATTTCTGGAACCCCCACCAATACCAAAATTCATGGATGCATAAGTCCCTTATTAAAAAAATGGTGGTTGGCCCTCTCATGAATTCTGAATCTGTAGATCCAGTCAACCCAGACGTAAATCAACTGGATAGAAAATCAAATCATCTGTCTGCAAATAATGAACATTTTACTCCTTTCTTCCAAGTTGGATGCCTTTTCTTTCATTGTCTTGCCTAATTGCTCTAGTGAGGACTCCCAGTACTAGTATTGAATAAGAACAATTGTCTTGTTCCTAATCTTAGAGGAATACTTTCAATTTTTCATCCTTGAGTATGCTTGCTGTGGGCTTGTTGCATATGGCTTTTATTATGTTGAGGTATGTTTCTTCCGTATTTAATCTGTTGCGAGTTTTTATCATGAAAGGATGTTGCATTTTGTTAGATGCTTTTTTCTGTACCTATTGAAATGATTGTGTGATTTTTTTTTTTAAATTAACTTGCATATGTTGAACCATTGTATCCCAGGGATAAATCCCATTTAGTCATATATTTAGATGCTCCTATGTTGTGTGCCTATCCCCATCTTTATGATTGTTATATCTTCCTGCTTATTGACCCCTTTTATTATTACATGACGACTTTCTTATTGTTTTTGGCTTAAGGTCTATTTTGTCTGATATAAGTATGCTATCCCGCTTTTTGTGGTTTCCACCTGTATTGGAATATCTTCTTCCATCCCTTCATTTTGGGTCTGTGTGTCTTTAAAGCTGAAGTGAATCTCTTGAAGGAAGCATATCATTGGGTTCTTATTTTTTTTGGGGGGGGGGGCGTCTTGTTTTTTAATCAATCCAGCCACTCTTTTTAATTGATTAACCATATGTAAAGACTTACTATTTACTGTTTTCTGGTGGTTTCTATTTCCGTTGTTTCTTTTCTGTTTGTTTGTTTGTTTCTTTTTCATTCATTTTCATCTTTGTAAAGTGGTTTTCCATGATGGTATGCTATTTACCTTTTTTAAAATCTTTCATGAATCTACTCTAGATTTTTGCTTTGTTGATTACAAGGCTTACCTAAAACAGCTCATAGATGACAGTCCATTTTATACTGATAGCATCTTCATTTGCCCATGAAATTTCCACCCTCACTCCCCTTCCTATTTTTGATGTCACAACTATCTTTTTATGTTGTATATTTGTTAACAAATTATAATAGCTATAGTTATTTTTAATGCTCTTTTCCTTTAACCATTATCTATAATTAAAGTAGCTAATACAGCATCCTATTATAGAATTTTCTAAATTTGAGTACATATTTTTCATCTTTACAGGTATAAAGTTGTTTTCATGTCACTGATGAACCTCTTTTCATTTCAGCTTTAAGAACTCCTTTTAACATTTCTTGCAAGGCAGTTCTAATGGTGATAAACTCCCTCAGCTTTTGTTTAAGATATTTTTCCTTCATATCTTAAGAATAACTTTGCTAGATGGAGTATTCTTGGTTGGCATTTTTTACCTTTCAACACTTTGAATATGTAATTCTGCTGTCTCCTAGACTGAGAGGTTTTGGTGAGAAACCTATTGATAGTCTAATGGATGTACCTTTGTAGGTTATACTCATACTCCGTTGCTCAGTCAAGTCCGACTCTTTGTGACCCAGTGGACTGTAGCCTGCCAGGCTCCTCTGTCCATGGGATTTTCCAGGCTAGAATACTTTAGTGGGTTACCATTTCCTTCTCCATTGTAGGTTACACTTTTTTTTAACTCCTTGGCTGCCTTTAAGATGCTTTGATTTTTGGTAATTTCATTACAGTGTATCTTGAAGAAGGCATTTTCACATTTAGATAATAGGGTGATCTATTAGCTTTGTGAATTTGGGTGTCCAAGTCTCCCCAGGTTTGGGAAGTTTTCAGCTAATATTTAAGTAAACGTTCTGTCCCCTTCTCCCTCTGGATTCCCAATTCTCCTAGCATATATCTGCTCTCAAATCCCATAGATCATACATGCTTTCTTTGCTTTTTACCTTGTGATTTATTTAAAAATTCTCATCCCCTAAGTCATTTACTGTTGGAAGAAATGCACTACTGCAGACACTCTCTAGTGCATTCTTCATCTCATGCATTGAAATTTTCAGCTCCAGAGTTTAATTCTTTTTGTGATTTCTTGGCAGAGTTAATTTTGTTCATGTATTTTCATTCCTATTATCATTAAGCTATCTTTGAGTTTTCCTGTAGTTAACTTATTTCAAAACAGCTATTTTGAAATTTCTATCAGCTACATCAGAGTATTTTGTGGCTTTGAGCTCAGTTGTTGCAGAATTATTGGGGGTGATATATTTTCTTGATTTTTCATGTTCCTTGTGTCTTTGTGTCACTGTTTCTGTATTTGAAATAGCAGACCTCTCCTTAAGTCTTTAATGGTTGCCTTCAGACGGTACTGATTGCTGGTGTTGCTACATGAGGGGTTTCCTTGATTTCTGAATGGGTGGACCTCTTCCACTCTTCTTGTTCAGCCTTGTGGAGGAACTCTGATGTTTCTTCTTGTTCCTAGAGCTCACCGGAGTGGCTGCTGGAAATCTCTCTTTTGTTTTCTAGAAGGTAGTGTTATATTATAGCTCCAACTGCAATTTCTCTCTTACCTGCACACCTTGGTCCACTCTTCTGTGAATACTCCAACTACTGGGCTTGCTCTCACTGCCACCACACTCAGGGGTGTGCCACAGAATGGGAGGGGGTGTGGGTTTAGCACTTGGGGTGTTGGGGATGCCCACAGACCCAGCAAAGAGATCCCTGAGTGGGGTACTCCCAGAGACTCATGGGCAGACTTCCTGCTGAAGTCCTGAAGCAGTCTGCAGGAACCATGCTCCTTTCATGCCCTTGATATTCTTACCTGCTTCCTTCACCTCCTCTTCCCTTCCTTCCATCATGGAAGTCCCACCTCTGGACTGCTGGTACCATTGTGTGACCCCAACAGTTGGGACAGCCCACTGCTTCCCACTCCTCCATGGGGGAGGCTGTCCCCTGCAGCTAGTACTGGGTATGTAACTGTTTCCTTTTTATGTTTCTACTATATAGTTACTAACACACTCCCTCATTTGCTTATACAAAAAAACTATCATTCAAAAGGAGAAAACTATTTTTTTTTTTTGCTTGAAGACTATAGAGTTAAATACCCATCACAGTAGATTTTCATTTATGAACTTAGGAAAGAATAGTTTAAAAGAAAAATTGAGGGGGAGGGGGCGGCACTTCCCTGGTGGCTCAGTGGCAAAGAATCTGCCTGCCCGACGCCTGAGACATGGACTGGATCCCACGTCTGGGAAGATCCCACGGGCCAAGGAGCAACCAAGCCCGTGCGCCACAAGTACTGAGCTGGTGTTCCAGAGTCCGGGAGCCACAACTACTGAAGCCCACGTGCCCCAGAGCCCCTGCTCCACAACAAGAGAAGCCACCGCAAGGTGAAGCTGTGCACCGCAACTAGAGAAAAGCCCGCACAGCAGTGAAGACCCAGCAGAGCCGTAAATAAATAAATATTTTAAGGAAAAATGGCACCGTGTGAAACCATTTCCCCACAACACTTTAAATATTCTTTAATTATTAAATATTAGATAAAATAATAATGGGCATGGTAATAATGAATGTGATAGTCTTCTTTCATCTGCTTTTCTGAAGAACAAGAAAATGCTCCAGAAAAAAAGAGAACTGACCAAAGACTACAGGAATAAATGACAGCACACTGATAGAGACCTGAATGTTTTATTATAAGAAATACCTTTACTTTGACCCAAGTGACAAGTGAGCTCTCAATATAAAGAGTTCTTCATTTTCCCTTTTGCACTAAGGGAATAAATATGATCATGCTTAAAGGAGGAGGGAAAAAAAGAGGGAGAAGTAACTTAAAATGTTTGGGGGAAATGTGCAAGTGACAATTCAAATAGAAATGCAGGCTTGGTTGCTTTTATACAGTGGCTGTTCTGTTATTGCTTATATAAACAACACATAAGGGAAACCAGCCTTCAAAAATCTAGTAATAGAATTTTTGGCAATTTCTGTTCTTAATTAGTAGGCAATACTTCCCTATTAGAAAAAATACGTTCCTCTTATAGCTCTAAATAACCAAAATTTATTTAATAATCATTTCCTATTATAGACTTAAATGTTGTGTTTCATCTTAGAGGCCTGTCATCCACAAGTAATATAAAATGGGATTTATATATATCTTAGCAGGAAATAAAGGTGATGTAATAATCACTGTTAATGATTTTCACTTTTAAAAATGAACTATAAAGAAATGACATTTCTACCAAACTTAAGAGGACTGCTTCATAGCCCAAAGAAGTAGAATTTAACTCAAAATTTTAACAAGTCATTAAGAGAAAATGTATGGTATAAGTTAAAATGCATCTTAACAAGTTCCAAATATACTTATTATTAAATATAAAGATGTTAGCTCTGGTACATAAGAAAATATTTACAACTAATAAAAAGGAGATTGTAGAATATACGTGTTCTGTGTATAAAAATAAGTAAAATATTTTATAGTCCAGACCAAGGGATCTTTTCTAAGCCAGGTTTTATCCATGCAACTCTATTACAATACCATCTCACTGGCATTACTGGAACACATACATACATAGAAGAAATCTAACCATTATCTTGATTTAAACATCATAGTGCCTTTTGAGGGCCTGTACATCTTCTAAAGTAAAGTGTTTGTTTGGTGCATCTGAGAGGTCATCAAAGAGCCGCTTCATCTGCTCCTTTTGGTCTTTGCTAATTAGTGTCAACATCATCTGCAATAGGGAAAAAATTATATCAGCTTATAAATGAACGTTTTAAAGTTATAAAAACCCTGAAAGAACCTATATCCACAAATGAGATATTTTTGCCACTTACCTTAAACCTTTCTGCTTTGCTCAGATATAAAAGATGCTGATACACCAAGGAGGGATCTTTATCAATAAGATGACTTTTCAGAGACTGGAGGAGGAGGAGGAACGTGTCCCCTTCAAGTTTGTTACTCAACAACACTGGCAAATCTTTGGGTTCAGTGATGGCTAGCAGGTGTGCACAGGCTCCTTGATCTTTCCTCGTACTGATGGCGTTTATAACCTGACCAAATTCGTAGGCACTGTTAGGCCTGGAGATCAGCAGTTTCTCATAGAGTTCTTGTGGCCCATTACTGGTGTCCCCCTTCTCAGAAGCAAGGCCGTCCGTGGGGGCTTCCTTCACGGTCCTCTCAGACTCTTCCTGATGGCCTTCACTCACCTGCAGGAGGAGAAAAATTACACCGTGACCCAAACAGCAGGCCCTGCACACACCCCCAAGTTACTTTCATTAAAACAGGAAGGAACTGAAAAAACACAATGGACTGCATTTTAGTTAAGTTCTAAGTGAAAAATATATAACTTGTAATAAGTCATAAAATCTACTTATTTTTTAGGAAGAGAAGTTTTAAAGTCTAAATATCCATTCATAAAAGTATTCTTTTTTTAAAGTTTAAAAATTGTTTTGATATTGAGAATATGACCATGAAATTTTTATAAGTAAAAGCTGCTGTGTAAAAGAAGACCTATGACAACTTTATACCTCCTCTTCATGACAGATTTTATATTTACTTATTTCTTATATTTGATAGGGAAGTGAACTTACATTTTTCAGTTCTCTTAAAAACAGTTTTCTTCTTCCCTCCTTAGTGGTGAAAAAACTCCCTAGCTTCTATCACATATTAGCCTCCTACTCTTAGTGGACACGTAAGATGATAGGTAGGTTGATACGAGCATTCATGAATACACAGGGATCCATGAGCTGACATTCTTCACTAAAGGCTACAACACAAGGCACTGGGTAATCTGAAATCACAAAGGCAGGTTTGGTTCTAGGGTGCTCCAGGACCCCTGATGAGGCTGGTCTTGTTTACAAACACTAAGAAAGGTCTGAACTGATCAGGAAGCTCTCTGGGGTGTGGTGTCCAGGACGCTGAATCTGAATCGTCCTCTAGGGTTCTTCAGGTCAACCAGGAAGCAAAGCTCAGTGGTAGCAGGCTCACAGGGCAACCAGGAATGGAAGCAATAAAACCACAGGCCAGGTGGCGTGGAGGGAGGGGAGCATAGAAAGAAAGACTGCAGACACCCACCAGGTTCTTGGATCCAAGGTGGGAAATGCAATGGCCAATTAGCACAACAAAAGAAAAATTTTGTCATTATAATCTGTTAAAATGTCTTTATTGATTACCAGGATAAAAACACAGAATTTTAAAGATTCATAGGAATATGACCTCAGAATCCCATATGAGTATAGGATCTTCAAAGGAGTACTTTCAGAGATAATCAAATACACGTACCTCTTGAATCTCAATTTTCCTTCTCTCCTTTTCTTTGTTGAATGATGCTGTATTATCCTTAATATTAAGGATTCTGGTTACCTCTTCCAGTTCCATTTTTGCCTCAACAATACTTGGGTCTAGTAGGAGAACTTTATTGAGATCGTTTAAACTTTTCTGATAATTCTGAAAGCAGGAGGGCAGAAAAAATAATTCTCATAAATAAAAGGAGAAGGGGCACAGATGAGCCTGAATGGGAGACTGGTGAGGTAAGTACAGAGCATGTGCAGCAGGTTCCCCTTGGTACCACAGTGATAAAATCAGGCCTGCGAGCTAAGACTTGGGCTAAAACACTAGGATCCATAACAAAAGGGGCTTCCCAGGTGGCTCAGCGATAAAGGATCCACCTGCCAATCCAGGAGACTTCAAGTTTGATCCCTGGGTCGGCAAGATTCCCTGGAGGAGGGCATGGCAACCCACTCCAGTCTTCTTGCCTGGAGACTCCCATGGACAGAGGAGCCTGGTGGGCTAGAGTCCACAGGGTCGTAAAGAGTCGGACACAACTGAACACGCACACACACATAACACAGAAGAGTAAGCACAGAATCTGGAGTCAGAAGTTAAATTTTGTATTACCACAGCTTTCACTGTCCCTGACACACAGGCACTGTCTGCTAAATGAATAAATGAAAGAAGCAACAGCCTCATATCAGCACCTACTAGCAGCAAAAACTTGAGCTAGATCCCACATCACGTTTCCGAGCTTCAGTTTTCTCATCTTTAAAATAGGAACAACAAAAGATTCTTCATTCTAGTTTTCACAGAGTTATGCCAAGTAATAAATGAATTAATAAAACAAAATGTGAGTGGCTTATACCTACAAAGAGCTGGACAAATCTTAGTTGATACCATAATATCCTATTCCATAACACCCTTGGAATCGTAAACTGTTCAGACAGGCTAGAGTCAACATTTATTATTCCATAAAGAGTCAGGCAATACCTTGGAGAGGTGGAAAAGAATGAAAAGTATTGTGCTTAAACAAACACTGTGCAGAATCTGGTGGCAGAGAAGGACACCACAAAAAAAGCTGGCTGGTGAGAGGCCATATTCTAGAACTATAGACCAGACTCATGTTAAGAATTAAGCCAAAATTAATTCTGTGAGGAGGTGAAGAGTTCCAACGATGTGTAACCTCTCAAGTATTCATGACATATAATAATAGCATGCACCGGACATATAGTAATAGCATGACATATAATAATAGCAAGCACAGGTAAAATGAGCTAGTGGTTATGTGACATTCCTGGGGGACTAGCTGTAAGGGACACTCCCAGCTGTAAGCCCTTCCCACTCCACCCAGCAATATACCAGAGCAAGAGTGATGTGCTCAAAGGGATGTGCTTAAACCCGCTCTAACTTATTATTCAAAAAAGGTGAATTATTTACGAACTATACAGTACATCAATACTATTGACAACCAATCTGCACAGAGCTGTGTGTCACCAGAGCATAGTCAGAACCTGCTTCAAGAAAGCAAGTGACACTGTTTCCTTCCCGGGTGTTCAGGCAGGGCGGGAATCGTACAGAAAGACAGGAGGGAACTGGAGGGAAAGACACGGGGGTGGGGCAGCAGGGCACGTGGAGGGAGGGCTAATGGCTAAGTCTTCCTTCTCCACACTTTATTCCCACAGCTCAGTCAGTTCAGTCGCTCAGTCGTGTCCGACTCTGCGACCCCATGAACCGCAGCACGCCAGGCCTCCCTGTCCATCACCAACTCCCGGAGTTTACTCAAACTCATGTCCATCGAGTCGGTGATGCCATCCAACCATCTCATCCTCTGTCATCCCCTTCTCCTCCTGCCCCCAATCCCTCCCAGCACCGCCCTATAAATATAACTTTTACTGTTCCCATTTAAAGACGAGGAAACCGAGGCACAGAAAGATCATCTTTGAGATGATCAAGGCAGCAATGAGCAGAAGGCGGGAGTGAGGACGGTTGTGGAGCTCAAGGGAGAGGCCTGAAAATGGAGCCTTGGAAATGAAGGGTCACCACCGAGGCGTGGACGTGACTGTTTTTCCATCCGTTCAAGGAAAGTTCGTGCCTAAAGAACCAATCTGTTTGGTTAGAAGAAAACCTAAGAAAGCAAGAAATACACTTTGATAAATGATAAACAAAGGCAGGCATTGTGAAGAGAGGGCCCGAGAGCAGGAAGGGCCATGGGGTCGGGGGTGCGGAGAAGGGGCCCAGCCCCTGGTCAACACAGCGTCAGACCAGACGGGTCACCAGAGCGCCGTGTGCTGCGGGCTGGGACACGGTGGGGGAGCGGACAGCGGGGCCTGGGAGCTCACGTCTTATGAGGGGAAACGATAAGAAGATGAGTGAATGGACGAATAAATAAAGTAAGCATGAGTGCACTGTCATTCACGCAAGTAAGAAAAGCAAGGGTTGAGATGGACGCTAACAAGCGGCAGGAGTCTCCTTTGATACTGCTTGTCAGAGCAGACTGGAAGGGAAGCCAGCCCTTGGAGTGGAGGGCAGAGCTCACACAGAGAGGAAAGTGGCTCCAGCAAAAAAGGAGGACAGGAAGAGATGCTAATGACCTTATTAGGCCTTAAAAAAGAAAAAAAAGATAAATCACATATGTTTGTGACAACATTTACTATTAATAAATGTGCTTAAACTACAATAACAACAATTATTTTAGATGATGTTACTGTTTTTGATACTTTGAGCCTGCTGGCGTCCCCACAGGGGTCGGCTGTCAATTCCCAAGGGCAGGCTACACGTCTTACCACCCCTATGCTCCCACAGCCCAGCACACGCATGGCACTTGAGAGAGTAAACAAACTGTAACTAAAACCAAGATGTTCAGTTATCTCCTCTTATGAAGAACAGCTGAACAGTAAGAAAAGCCCTGGACTTCCCTGGTGGCCCAGTGGTTAAGAATCTGCCTGCCAATGCAAGGGACATGGGTTTGATCCCTGGTCCGGGAAGATCCCACATGCCATGAGGCATCTGAACCCGCGCACAACCTCAGAGCCCGCGTGCCCTAGAGCCTGTGCTCTGCAACAGGGGAAGCCACAGGAGCGAGCAGCCCACGCACAACTAGAGAGGGGCCCCCCTCTCCGCAACTAGAGAGAGCCAGCGTATGGCAACGAGGACCCAGTGCAGCCAACGATAAACTACATGGGAAAAGAAAGGAAAGCTCTGTAGTTTTCAAACCTAGCACACAAGAAAAAAAAAAGAAATTAAAGCCAGCTGGAAAACAAAATATCTGAGAAAGCAGAGTTTAGCTGAGAAACACAGGCTGGGCCCTGCTCCCTGTGGGCCTGTGGGCCACCTCCTTAGCAGTCATATAGAGGAAGCCAGTCCAGATCCTCAAATTAAATTCACTTGGCACATAACTCAAACTACAGGGGATGTAGATAAAGCTATGAGAGATCAAACCAGAAAAACAAGCTGCCAGCCTCATACTCTACACCAGGGTAGGGTTACTAAAAGTTGGGATTCTCTTTCTGCATCATAATGCAATTTCCAGAATTCATTCCAAGGAAGTATAAAATTCCAGTCTTTCAAAGACTGAGGCAGCCAGTATGGGATAAACCTGCTCTAAGAGTTTGAACTTATCGATATAGAAACTCATGAGTCATGAAGATCATGACTGCCTCATGGACCCAATCCATTAAGTTCCAAAACAGCTGAGTAAACTTTCAAGAAACCTCTTTTAATTCACGGTGCCACACACCCGCTAGGAAATCTTTATGTGAGGTTTACAAATGAGTAGGTTGTTAACAAAAAAAGAGGATGGGAGTGGGGGTGGCAGGTCAGGTGACCTGGGCACTGGGAACAGAGTGAACACACTGGGAATACAGGGCCGCTGTGGAGCTGCTGGGCTGGCGAACGGGGCAGCCACATGCCAGAGGGTGACATGACCCACTTTCATCAGGACGGAAGCTCCTACACTTGGGACACTTCTGGACCTTGCCCTCTGCACCTCTTCACTTGGCTGTTCATCTGTATCCTTTATAACAAAAGGAAGGGCCGGGGAGGGGAAGGAGGGCGGCAGCACGCCTGAAGGGTGGTGACGGGTCATCTTGCCTCAGTACAGCTGTCACTCCACTGCAACCTGAGGGGATCTAGGCTCTAGAAAAGCCTGAGTGCTCAGAGCACAAGCACACATCCTCATCTGATACAGGACACAAAAAACATGACCACCCTCTCGCAACAAAACCTAGGTTTCATGGAGTTATAAGAACTCTCTCAAACTCAGTAAGGTCAACACTCTGCCCTCAAACCTCTCCCTCCAGCTGTACACCCTCCCTCATCTCACTGCACCGCATACATCACAGACCTGAGACAGAACGTGGGACGCAGCCCCAGTATTTATCCAAAGGAAGCAGAAACTCTAACTTGAAAAGACATTCCCATGCTCACTGCAGCATTATTCACAACAGCAGCCTAAGTGTCCATCGATGAATGAATGGATAAAGAAAATGTGATATATCTACACAATGGAATATTATTCAGCCATTAAAAAGGGAAGTTTTGCCATTTGTGACAACATGATGGACTTTGAAGGCATCATGCTAAGTAAAATTGGTCATACAGAGAAAGACAATTACCATATGATCTCTTATATGTGGAATCCAAAAAAAAGAAAAGAAAACCCAACAATGAAAAACAACCTGGACTCACAGAAACAGAGGACAAAACTAGTGGTTGCCAGAGGAAAGGTGGGGGTTGGGGAGTAGAGGATGGGCAAAATCATCGAAGATGCTCAGAAGGTATGAAATTTCAGTTACGAAATAAGCCATGGAGATGTAATGTACAACATGATGACAAGAGGTAATAATAGCATATTGTATATTTGAGAGTCTCCGAGAGAATAAATCTTGAAGTTCTCATCACAAGAAAAAAATGTGTTAGCTGTATGGTGAACTCGGAGAAGGAAATGGCAACCCACTCCAGTGTTCTCGCCTGGAGGATCCCAGGGACGGGGAAGCCTGGTGGGCTGCCGTCTATGGGGTCGCACAGTCGGACACGACTGAAGCCACTTAGCAGCAGCAGTATGGTGACCCAAACATACTGTGATCATCTGATCATTTCACAATACATACAAATATCAAATCACTATGCTGCACACCTGATACTAATATAAAATGTCAATAATATCTCAATTAAAAAAACACTTTAAAGAAGAAAAAAAAGCCAATGACCTATACACTTACAATGTGTGAATTTCACTGTATTAAACTTTAATCAGATTCTTTAAAAATACCATTGTGGGAAATGCCATTTCCCAGAATGTTCTGAGTTTTCCTTGTGTTGTTATTTTCTACAAACGAGAATGTTCACTTGAGTTTTCCACACAGAAGCAGCAGCATCAAGAAAAGTGTAATCATATAAACTTTCTTTGAAAATAACAGCATGGTTTTCTTAGAGAAGAATGCTGTCCAATGGTCTCATAGGGACCACTTGCTAGTTTAAAGCTCAAATCACCATGAACTTCCCAGCCTCTGCTGTGTCTCTACCAGTGTCTATGGGTGAACACCTCTTCTGTTCTGTTCCTTCCCCCGACCCCGCCACAGATAACCCCAACCCTCTGCCCGAGGAATCCAGCGGCACTGCCGGTGGCCTTCAGTAATTCAGCAAACCTTCCTGTCCCTTAAAGTGGACCTGTTCTAACGAACGACACTCCTTAGAAAATCAGGAAATAAATCAACATTCTTGAGCTAGAAGGAATCTTAGAAATCTGTGGCATCTTCTTAGATTTCAGGATTACCAGGCTTAAACCCCAGGATACTGACATGCCCATTCCTCAAGCCTACAAGTCATGTTCATTGAAAGCACGTGATTTGTTCAGAGCTGACCCTGACATATGAAAACGAAGATTTCCTCACCTTGAGCCCTTTGTGAGCAAGGGCTCGTCTATAGTAAGCTTTCACACTCCTGTGATCCATCTGAAGGGCCTGGTCACAGTCCTGCTTTGCCTCTTCAAACTGGCCCAGCTTCAAGTAACAGAGGGCTCTGGTGTAATGGAATGGAACTCAGCATTATGAAAGGTAAAAACAACATATCCATAAATTTGGGCAACTAATAGAAGTCAGAAAATAACTAAATAAGCCTGTTTCTATACCACAGCTGCTGCAATCGAAACCTAACCTTTTATTCTCCAGTGAAGGCATTTTCTGGCAATACTTGCAATTAGGGACCCTGGGGATCCCACTGCAATCAAGACAGTCCAGGCCCTCAAGGAGGCTGCAGACTAGGGGAAGAGACCGTCTATTAAAAGAAGCAAATGCAGTGAAGTCTGTAAAGGATGCTCTGGGAGCACGGAGCTGAGAGTCTCTTCAGACTTGGCGAAGCTGAAGCTAGGGGAAGAGCAGTCAGGCAAGACTTCCCAGAAGAAGGGACATTTAAGTTGAAGCCCAGAGTATGTACGAAGTGAGTATTATGCAATGTGAAGGTGCTGGGCTGGGACTTAAGATGGAGAGAGGGCACACAGCACGTGCAGAGTTCTACAGAGACAGAGAACGTGGTGCTCTTGGCGCTACGGTGGGAGTGTGGGGGGAGGCCCAGCACGCGGGAGGACAGGCAGGATGGGCCTGGCAGGAGGCTGAGCTTTATCCAGCACTTAATGGAGTCTGGTGATGGGTTTTTAAGGTTTTCCCAGGTGGGGCTAGTGGTAAAGAACCCACCTGCCAATGCAGGAGATGTGAGAGACACAGGTTTGATCCCTGGGTTCGGAAGATCCCCTGGAGAAGGGCATGGCAACCCACTCCAGGATTCTTCCCTGGAGAACCCCATGGACAGAGGAGCCTGGTGGGCTACAGTCCACATGGTCACAAAGAGTCGGACACAAATGAAGCGACTTAGTACGCACAATGGGTTTTTAAACAGAGGCGGACCCATTTACTGTGTTTGGGGAAGGTCGCTCTAGCTGCCAAGTGGAGAATCGGAGGGAACAAGGCTGTGCAGGGACACCTGGGAGGACGGGGCAGATGGCGAGGGAGAGCTGGTGACGGCCAGAGCGGGACTGACAGGGAGGTGGACGGAAAGGAGTTTAGAAGTCCTACAAGAGTTCAGAAGTCAGGACACCTGCACTGCATGGACTGACGAGGGAGGCGTGGGTCAGGGGTGAGAACCCATCATGAGCACAGAGGCAGGGTGGCGCTCAGGTCCAGGGCTCAGAGACAGAGATCAATTCAGTTCAGTCGCTCAGTCGTGTCCGACTCTTTGCGACCCAATGGACTGCAGCACGCCAGGCTTCCCTGTCCATCATCAACTCCCAGAGCTTGCTCAGACTCATGTCCACAGAGATGTGGGGCTCAGAACTGGAAGGCGGTAAATGGAGCTGGGGAGAGGATGAAATAGGCCAGAGGATATTAGAGCAAAAAAGGGATCTACACCTTTAGAAACCCAAGAACAGCAGGGAAAGAAAAGCCTAAAAAAAAAAAGAAAGAAAGAAAAGCCTTAGAGGGGGAGCAGGGGAGAGCCAGGCATGTGAGCTGTCTGCACGCGAGGGGAGGCAGCCTCCGGGGAAAATTAAGAGGCCCCCTGACGCCCAAGACCACAGAGGCCGAACAGGAGAAGGGCAGAAAAATACCTGCTGGTATTTTCACAAAAGAAGGTCACCAAAAAGAGGAAAACATGTGGGAAAATAAAAGTGAGAACTTAAGTTTAAAATATTTTCTGAAATAGCTATAGAAACCCATGCCAAGTCACTTTTGTTTAGGAATCATACCTTAATTGTCCTTGTCACTGAAAACTCTCTACTCCCTAAAAAAAATCCCCAATCACCGTATTCCAGGTAACTACCTTTTTCAACATAAATAATGTGAGCAGTGTTCTGGAACAGTTGGCTCATCCCCACTGCACTCTAGAAGATGCAGACCCTGTCCTCAGGACTTCAAGAGGAACAGGGCACTAGAGACACTAGTGTAGAAGACAGCTGATTCCTGGTCGCACTCTGAAGGGCGAGGCTGAGGCCTCACACCAGGGAGGGGCGGGGAGGCCTCACACCAGGGAGGGAGGGAGGGGAGGGAGGGCTCACACCAGGGAGGGACAGGGCAGCACCAGCGAGGCAGCCAAGGCTGAGTAGGAACACAGCCTGTGTCAGCCCTGCCAGCAACAAGATGCCAAGACACCTCAGGCTTTCAATCTCTCCTATGGCCTCACCTCTTTTAAAAGAAAAAAAACACTCACTTAAAACAATTTACTGTATATACCAAATTCTCAGAGTCATGGGGTAAAACTTTGGCAATTAATCAGCCTATAATTTTTTCATCAAAAATATTAACATAAGACATAGAGAAAGTGACAGAGAACTTGCCTGTTTGTATAAATGGCACATTCCTTGTTGTTAATCTTTAAGCATTCACTGTATTTACTAAGGGCATCTTTATAGTTTTTGTCTTTTACACATTGATTTCCTTCTTCTTTAAGGGTTTTAAATACTTTTTCATCTATGGGACACACAAAAAAAGTGGAATTATTCTATAAGCACCTCTACAATACTTTAAGTATACTGTAAACTAAGTGACCACAAACCATACAGATCTAAAGTCTAAATGGAACAAAATTTTGTATACAAATTAAAAAGATAAATTGGCTACAAGTAAAAATTTGATTACACAATGACGACACTGTTTTTTTTTAATTAGAAAATAAAATACAAGTAATTATATTACTTTATCCATATTGGTATGCCTCCCCTCTCTGCTCCTGTGCTTTCAGTAAAGCAAACCGACCCCAGCCCTACCTCTTGGGGTAATCTGAGCTTTACTAACCAGCACATTATACTCCCTTGGCCACAGTCAGCTAATTGGTCAGGGAAGGACTTATGAGAGCCAATGAGCGACAATAAGATTTTTGTGGCAGCTTCTGCTAAGGTAATTCTTGCTTTTCCCTGTGGAACATGAGGATAAAAGAAGGGGCTATTTTGTCATCATGCAACACAAGGGGAGAATCTGTCTGAGAATGGGGTCAACAGAGCAAGAGAGACGCCAAGACAGAGAGCTCAGAGACCTCTGAGCCCTGAATCCAGCTGCCCGAGCAGCAAGCCTACCTGTGGACCTTTCCACAAGTGGGGAGCCAATAAACAACCTTTTCTGCTTAAGACATTCATGGTTGGGTTTTCTGCAATCAGAGAGTCCCAACTGTTACTGTTGCCTATTATCTTGCTGTGAGCATGGCTGACGCTCCACTTGGGATCCATTTCCTTCTTCCTAAGGATACCCCGATATTCACACAGCTGTCACTCCTCTCCTACTCAGCCCACGTGTCCGGGGGGAAGCTGACCCCACCAATCAGAACTTGGGTCTAAGCCAACCAGGGCATTTCTTCATCATAGGGAGTGGCTCAGGAATGAGCACATGACTCATTACCATAAATACCAAGACAGCTTAGCCTACAGAACAACAGGCTAAAAAAAGCTAGGTCTTTAGGGCAACGAACGTATTTCCTCATTCTTAACACCACCAAAAGCAGTGGTGTCTCTCTCTTTGGACACTGATTTGTGTGGTCATTAAGTCTAAAACTGCTACCGTTCTGTATTTCTGGCCATACCCTGAGCCCTGACAAATTGTGCCTGATTTTGGAGTCTGCCTGGGCCCTTTCAGTTACTTTGAGCCAAAACTATTTCCATACAGTTATAAGTCAACAGATTTTCTGTGACTTGCAACTAAGGTTGTCTAACATACATAAAATATTAAAATCTAAAGTTTTAAATCTATGTATTAACTTTATAGAGTACCTACATATGAAATGAAAATCCATAACTTAAATTTTAAAATATATCTTTAAATTCTGTGACCTAAAGATCCTGATAGATGCACTGAATTTATAGTATAAACTCAGAATATAAATGATAACCTTATTTCCTCTGCACAAATGGCAGGAATATTAATTTTTCATCCCTTATTTCAAATCACAGAATATTTCTGCCTAATGTTATATGTTTCAAAAGATCTCACAGTATGCAGCCAAATGACACTCGCCATAAATCTTGCCGTCTATGTACGCTCTAAAACAGATTATTACAGAGGATTTTTTCCCTCTAATTTGCTGAAAAATTTTCCTCAAGCTTTTCTTCCCACACAGTTTTTAGGAATGTGGAATCCAGTCTCACTAATAAATATGAACAGAAAGAACTGATTATTCTTGTGCTCATGACTTGCCAGCACATATCTACAGCATAGTTAGTTTCTGCACATTATTAATAATGAAGAGCTACCCTTAACTGACCAAATACTTTGTTATAGTCCCCACTGATTACAGACTCTAGAAACTAGAGATCTCCACACTTTCCCCAGGACTGCTGCCCATTTAAAAGCCTTGGCAGAAGTTCCCTGCCTCTTCTCTCTAGGCAAGGAAAAGGGTGAGGGTCTAACACCAGCCTTTGGGACATGCCAGTTCAGGAACCTCAGGGGCTGTGCAAGATGAAGCCCAACAAAGACACACATGGGTCCCTGAGCAGGCAGTAGAAATGGAGCCTCAGCTGGCTTTCAGGCAGAAGGCAAGCGTGAAGTCACACTGACTACACACACTACACAAAGTGCTGAGGTAGGCACTGTGGGGATGCAGTTGTGGACCTGAACAACTACGATGTAAGGGAGGAGGTACTGCTAAGATACATGTTATAAGGTTTTATTCTTTCAAAAACATCAATTTCAATACACTAGCCTTGCCACCACATTCATGGTATGATGNCGTAGGCACTGTTAGGCCTGGAGATCAGCAGTTTCTCATAGAGTTCTTGTGGCCCATTACTGGTGTCCCCCTTCTCAGAAGCAAGGCCGTCCGTGGGGGCTTCCTTCACGGTCCTCTCAGACTCTTCCTGATGGCCTTCACTCACCTCTTGAATCTCAATTTTCCTTCTCTCCTTTTCTTTGTTGAATGATGCTGTATTGTCCTTAATATTAAGGATTCTGGTTACCTCTTCCAGTTCCATTTTTGCCTCAACAATACTTGGGTCTAGTAGGAGAACTTTATTGAGATCGTTTAAACTTTTCTGATAATTCTGTTTGTATAAATGGCACATTCCTTGTTGTTAATCTTTAAGCATTCACTGTATTTACTAAGAGCATCTTTGTAGTTTTTGTCTTTTACACATTGATTTCCTTCTTCTTTAAGGGTTTTAAATACTTTTTCACCTGGTGTGCCCGGCTGGGGATGGTGGCAGGAATCTCCCACTTGGTCTGGGGGCGTCTCTGCCGCAGGCCGCCAAGCCCGCACTTGTGCGGAGGTGGGCACAGCAGGAATGGGTGGCAGCTTCTCCCGCCAGTTTGGGCCATCCAGAGCGATCAAAATCTTTGTTATCCTAAAAAGAAAACCAGTTTTCTCTGTTAAACATGGAGTTCGCTTTTTTATATTACTGAAGGTCACATCAAGGTAAAATTTACAAATGCTATGCAGCTCACGGAGTCACAGAGAGTCAGACTTGAGCTATTTGCTGTCCACATACACTGTCTTTGAAAGGACTTTTAAAAGTTGTTCCAAACTATGTAACTTTAGATCTTTTTTTGTATCAAAAGAAAAAATGAAGACACTTCTAATTGGTTTAAGAAATTTTTAAATGTATATGCAATAAAATTTTAATTTGTTAAAAAAGTCAAGTATAAAACTAAAATTTAGGAAGCCTAGAAGAAATGTGCCCCACATAACATTTCATATAATTGCTAAAGTGATTATTACTCTTGAGACTTAACAGAAGGACTTTAGAATTTCTGTGCCCAAACTGGATACAACAGACAGGTCTACAGGACTGGCTGCTAAAGCCGGTGAGGGTGCGGACCTGCGTGTGCTTAGTCACTCAGTCGTGTCTGACTCTTTGCAACCCCATGGACTGTAGCCCACCAGACTCCTCTCCATGGGATTGCCCAGGCAAGAGTGGGTTGCCATTCCCTTCTCCAGGGGATCTTCCCAGTCCAGGAATGGGACCTGTGTCTTCTGCACTGGCCGGATTCTTTACCACTTAGCCATGTGGGAAGCCCAAAACTGATGTGGAGTGGCTGTCAAATGGAACAGTGCTTCTTCTTGAAACATTAACATATGGTTAAGATACTCTTACCTTGCATTTTTTCATCTCTAAAACGATCCACTCATTGTGTTGTCATATGCATATAGATGAAAGAATTTGATACTGGAGTCTACTACAAGGACCCTTGTAACAATGACATTTGCTAATGGCTATAAATAATACTCAGATTATCACCCCTGATTATCACTTTCCCATCATTCTAAACACACAAAGTATCATACTTAGATTTTAAAACAAAACTGAATTATGTCTGGGATAAATCTGGTTTTAAAAAAAGGTGCTCAAAAAAAAAAAAAAAAAGGTGCTCCCCAAGACTGAGAAAGTCACTGGTAATTAGTAGAATGCATTCAAATTAGTTAACTCAGTAGTACTTTTCATGTGAAAAAATTGTATTTATATAGAGCCAAATGTAATACAAACATTTTCTCTACAGTTTCATAAACTTAAATTTCAACAGTGATCTTTGGTTATGATAGCCACGTCTCATATTTTAGTGCAAAAATTTTTTTTTGAAAAATAATGTATAACCACCCACCATAGCAGAAGAAAAAGATGCTTTAGAAAAAAGAATTTTCAAGCAAAACTTGTATTACCAGCAGAAAGGAAGGAAGAAGCAGCTTAAAAGAGATGATGTGTTGCCAGGGAGTAAATAAGTATATGCAGGGAAATGTAACATATGAGATTCCTGGAGAGGAAAAGAGGAATATGGTTAATGGAAGAAACAAACAAAATAAGCACAGATGTTTAAATTTTTTTTCCCCCCAAAAAAGCTGCTTAGATGGAAAAGCAAGCATAAATATAGGGTTCATGAAAAGCAATAGTGAAATTTTTTAATGAATATTTTACAGAAAATATATATGCCAAAACCAGACAAAGCCTCCTCACCTTCTCATAAAATGATATATAAGCAATAACCATTCCATTAAAAAAAATGAATGAGTCTTAAAAGTCAATCTGTGTAAAAGCACCTTCTTGAGTACATCTAAAAATTACAATACAATTCTCAAAAAACTAAACAGAATTACCGTATGATCCAGCAATTCCATGCCTAGGAATACACCAAAAGGAACTGAAAACAGGTATGCAAACAAAACCTTGCACATGATGTACACAGCAGCACTATTCACAATAGCCAAATGGTGGAAACAGCTGAAATGTCCTTCAACAGATTAACGGGTGAACACAATGTGACATATCCACACACTGGAATATTACTCAGTCATAAAAAGAAATGACAACATCACACATGCCACATCATGGACCAACCTTGAAAATATAAGCTATGTGAGTCAAGCACAAAAGCTACACACACTGTATGTTTCTATTTATATGAACTCTCCAGAATAAGTAAATCCACAGAGATAGAAAGCAAATCAGGGGCTTAATGGGGGTTTCCCTTTGGGGGGGAAGAAGTATTTTGGAACTATTAGTTCCAAATAGTGGAACTGTTCCAAATAGTGGCTGTCCAATACTGTGAGAGTACTAAAGGCCACTAAATTGTACACCTAAAAATAGTAAATTCAGTTGTTATGTGAATTTTACTTCAATTTTTTAAAAAAGTGTAAAGAATGTAGAAGGTTCAGAAATATGAATGATCACAGTCTCTCAGACATAAATTTCTCCCTTCAGACCCATTCAGTCTATCACTATGAACCAGAGTTCCTAAAACACCTCTTCACAGGCCCCTTGTCTCGGGCAGAAGTGGGAAGACTTCAGGTGTCTTCCCAATTTTTTTCACGAGAACCTCTAACCCTGGGAGAAGATCCTACTCTCCCAACCACCTCGGAGACTCCCAGGCAGAGAATGGGTGAATCAATAGCAGAAACCCACAGCACAGGGTCTGCTGGCGAAGGCGTTCACTCCACACAGTTTTGCTGAGGCTGCCTACTGTACAAGGTAGGGCAACAGCACAGCTGCATGAAACACAGCCCTGACTTCCCAGAACTCTGTGGAATGAATCTAACAGAGCTTCATGAAAAGAGACAACATGGGAAGAAGGCACAGCTTGGAGGGAGAGGCGCCTGAGGGGCACGGGTGCCGGGGGAGATGGGTGGATCAGGGGACGTCCTCTCCTAAAGGGCAGAAGGGACTTAGCCGGACAAAGGTGGGGCAGAAGAGCCTTCAGGAGCCCATGTGGAGGCCACAAGTGATGCGCAACCAGGCGGCTGTGAGGCAGGAGAGAAGGCTTGGAGGGCTCCCAGGGACACCCCTGATTTTACAGGATGGAGACCATGCCCCGAATGCCCACGGTTCTATCAGGCCCCACTCTAGATCCAATAACCAGGATCTCCTCTTTTCTTCCCAACAGGCGGGTCCCTAGCGACCACAGAGAAGAAGCACCAGGGAAAAGCTGCCCACTCAACACACAGATCTTTCCAACAGTTTTCTGCCAAGTGCAGTGGGACCAGGCGGGGAGGTAAGGCAGGACTGTAAAACACGAGCTCTCATCTTCTTCAGCTTTGTTCAAGGTCCCCTTTGTGGTCAATCAATGCCCTTCACGACCACCTCCAGGGCTCATTCTCCGAGAGCTGCAGCCCACGGACCAAGGCAGCCTGACCCCTCTGTGATGCCCCCGCCTCATCAACTAACGTTCATGCTTGGGGATCACATGTCTTATGTTAAGTTGTCCCCCCCGCAGGCAACATTCTACTTTGCTTAAAGACAGAGACTATGTCACTTTTCCCCCTTCCGCTCTTTCTGTGGGGTGTGTGGGACATGGTACCCTAGACCAACACAAGGCACAGTGTGGCACCCAAAAATCCTCGAAAGAAATGATACTTTGAACAAATGGAATTAGAGAATATCATACATAACTGGAAACGTTACCCAAGGAGTAACTTTTCAAAGTTCACGTGAAAGCAATTTATGAAATCTGGAAGCTCTTACTTTCCTGTTCTCACCTAGGGAGTAAATAGGTCATAATACAAATTAGATCCAAATTCTGTGCTATTTCATCATCCTGTGCTGTGCTTGGTCGCTCAGTCACGTCTGACTCTTTGTGACCCCATGAACTGTAGCCGGCCAAGCGCCTCTGTCCCTGGGGACTCTCCAGGCAAGAATACTGGAGTGGGTGGCCATGCCCTCCTCCAGGGGATCTTCCCCACCCAGGGATCGAACCCAGGTCTCCCACTTCGCAGGCAGGTTCTTTACTGACTGAGCCACAAGGGACGACATCATCATCCTAGATGAGCATCTATCTAAAGGGCATATAACACAAACATCTAGCAGGCTCATAAAACATCCACTCTCCTGAGGAGAAAATAAAATGTTTCCACTGACAGATGTGGTGCCAATGAACACCTGCAGATCCTGCAGAAGACTCAACATGGCAGGCTTCGCTACATTTTTGGATTTCGTCCTGTAATCAGTGCCGACATATGACATCACTGAAAACACCTTTCTAACCGCACAGATATTAACAAATACTAAAATCAAATTCTGTGCATCTTGAGTTGCACAGAAGAGCCATACCCTGTGCTGTTTTTAAAATTAAGTGTATATCATACATAATATTCACTGAACAGTAATAAGTGGACCAGGAAACAAATATAAAGGTGTCAGAGGACAACTCAAAACATATCATGGGATAGTCAGAAAGTTAGAGAGCGAAAACCATTTGGTTTTGAAGGGGTGAAAAAAGGCATGCATCCCTGTGTAATGCCAATAATGAAAAACACGTCCACACCTTGACCTCATTCTGGAAGGAGGAGAAGAAAAAAAACCTCATTCCATTAGAAAACAACTCGCCCTCGGGCAGCAGCCTCTGATTAGGTTACCTGTTAATACTGTCATTTGCTATCTGGATTCCACAGTCTATTTGCAACACTGTTTTATAATCCACGTAAGCTTTCTGATACTGCTCTACAGTTTCATAGGCCATTGCACGTCGAAGAAGAGGCTTGATGGAGAATGGATGAAGTTCCAGGGCCCTAAAGGAGACAGAAATATTATATGTCATTTGTTATGAAGATCACTCCCTAACTTATACTAACCTGACATATCTGTTAGGACTGAACTCTCACATACATGCATATCTGATATTTCACCTTGGGGGCCTGGCAACATACCAGAAAGGCAAACCCAGAGCAGCAGAGCAATCAATCTGTGGTTACTGCCTTTCTTTTAAACCAGTCCCCTTTGGCACCTGCTCTTCCCCCAGTGAGACTGAGCTTCCAGGGAGCAGGCACTGCCTACCCCTCCAAGCCCCCCTCCCAGGGTCGCCCCCCACCCCCATGGGCCAATAGAGGCCACATGGCACAGGGACAGAGGAGGCTTTTCACCAGGTTCTTATTACTGACAGATCCAAGGGAGAATTTTATTTGCACCTATGTAATTTTTTATTAGCACAGGACTACAATACCTACAACACCTTTTGAAAATCAGCCCTCTAAAATTTAACACAGTTGATTATGATTTACTTGCTGCCAAAGAGCTTCAAAAATAGACTGGAGGAAATTGTGGAAGTTAGTATACAGTGATTTCTGTAAGTCATGAATTTTCTAGTGCTCCTCCTATTCTGTGAAGTACTTCCAGTATCACTAGAGACATGTTTCAAGGTTATGTTCTTGGTTTTGTTTGAAGTAACTGCTTAAGGCTACGTCACTAACTTAATGCACTTCACTATACTCTGAAATAAAGCATACAATCAAAAGATGGTATTTATAAGTGAAAACTATTGTACTCTTAGTTTTGACAAAATCAGTTGAAACTGTCAAGAAGTATTATGGATCAATACCAACATTTATTAATATTCCACGCAGAGATCCCATGAAGAGCCTACTTCCTCTCTGATCTGCTAACAAGAATCTGCACCAGACTGTCCACAGTGGGGATAAAGGTTTGCTCGCCTGGTGATTCTTCTGCACAAGCAGTTTGCATATATCAGACATTTGATCTGCCTCAGGAAAAGCATGATTTCTTCCCCAGGAGACCTGTCTATCCCCGTCTACAGAGATCTGGAAGGAGGAAGCCCTGACAACACCTGTTGGTGTGAGTCTCTGCAGACGTGCTCACCTAATGTCACAACAGGCCTGGGAGGTACATATTCATATGTGCAGGTCACAGATGAGGGAGCGATCTGCCCACAAGCCTGATCTTCTGAACTTAAGCCACGGGAGACCAAGGGCATTGCTGGTCTCGATCATTACTATATCCCAGCACCTAGATCACAGAGGGCCACTGGAGGCGCTCAGCAAACCCCGCCCAAGTGAACCTTCAGGACCCACACTCTTGCCACCACAAGCGCAGATGAAAGCACCACATATTAAGAAAGGCGCAGTCACCTTGCCACCCGGAGCCCTTGGTAATTCTTCACATTGTACGGATCCTCAACTGCACATGTGGGTGTGCTCCTGGGCTGTATATCACCGACATTGTTCTAGAAATGTCATTAAACCTAATCAGCATAATTTCTTTGAAAAAGAATCATTTTTGCTCTGCCTAGGTACTAGGATTGAGGATGATTTTAATGATCTCTTTTGCACTGTACTGGATTTAAAATTTTTTTTTCCGTAATAGGTTATGTGTTACTCTTGTAACCAGTAAAAGTTATTTTAAAAATAAAAGTCTATTAAAAACACTCAAACACTAGAAAACAGGTTTTTGGGTATCAGGATCTATCACCTGCACCCCTGTCTTAAATCTACCTTAGTTTAATGCTTATGAGATATTAACTACATGAACACTAATTATAAATGTAGGTCACAGACACAAGAGTACCCCTATTTTACAAAAGACTTCCAATGCCCGAGGAGCTATTTATCTACAAGATGGACCTGAGGTAGGCGTGGAATCTAAAACTGAATGAGATGATGCATTTAATTTATAGCATTTCCCAGCTGAGTAAATGCAGTTTTTCTTTTTAATCACAATCCTGAAAACGAATGTTGAGCTTATGAATGGGAGTTCCACTAAACAAAACAAAACAAAACAAAACAATTACATCTATTCATAAGCACACACACAGAGAACTTTTAAATCAGAGTTTACAAAAGTTTAACTACTCAAGTTAAAACAGCTAAGAATCTAAAAGAGCATTCTAATTTCAAGTCCATCAGAGAGAAGCAAAGATAAGCAAAAATAGAATTATTAGGCAACATTCATTTGTCTTGAGTCTGTCAAAATACTCTCAATGGGAAGTCCAGGAAAAAGTTTTGATATGTTTAGATAACTCAAAAAGTGACAGATTGGGAGCTGTGAAGATGTTTTTTAGCTGATAAACAATTACGAGAATTGTTTTATGGTTTTTCCAGTAGTCATGTACCAACATAAAAGTTGGACCATAAAGATGGCTGAGTGCTGAAGAATTGATGCTTTCGAATTATGATGTTGGAGAAGACACTTGAGAGTCCTTTGGACTGCAAGGAAATCAGTCAATCCTAAAGGAAATCCATCTGGAATATTCGTTGGCAGGACTGATGCTGAAGCTCCAATACTTTGGCCACCTGATGGGAAGAGGTCTCACTGGAAAAGACCCTGATGTTGGGGAAGATTGAAGGTAGGAGGAGAAGGGGATGACAGAGGATGTGAATTTAAGCAAACTCCAGGAGACAGTGGAAGACAGAGGAGCCTGGCATGCTGCAGTCCATGGGATCACAAAGAGACAGACGCAACTTAGCAGCTGAACAACAATTATGAGAATAAAAAGTAATTTCTAGAAATAATTCTAGAAATTTCTAGAAATTACTTTATTGTTTAAAACCACTAATGTTTTAAACTCTTCTTAGGTGTCATAACCCTGTTTCATGCTTCACCTGGAAGCCTAACCTAGAAACTTGGAGATGCTGAGAGGAGAAGGCAGGGCCCACAGCCCCTGAGTTTCTCAAATAAGCGTCATGCTCCCAACAGCAACTCTTGACCCTCATATGCCCCTGGAAAAGAGCTCAGGGAAGTGCTTCAGAATAGGCCCTAGGATTGTAGACACTTAAAAATCAAATACTTTCCCCAAAAAAAGTGCATAAAAAGTTATTTCACAGGTAAATCTATGAAAGTTATTTCATAAGTTCTCCCTTATCTTAAATTTTGCCCCCAGGGAATTTTTCTTTTTCACTGTTTGAAACCTGCTACCACTTGTAATAAGAGTCAGTGCAAACAACTTTCCAAGGAGCAAAGATAATTAACCAAAAAACTAAAACATAGGCTTTCTTTAAAAGGTATATAACCTTTTTAGGTGAAGAGAATAGAGTCATATCTCTGCTAATAACTAGTTTTCAATACAGCCATATTTCAACATGTCCCCCAAGGCAAATCATGGTTTCCCTGGCATTAAAATGAGTTTGAGAATCATTGCTTTGGAGTAAAATCACTCCAATCACCCAATCACCTTATGCTGAGACTCATATGTCAGGTATCAAAGAAAACATCTAAGTAGGTCGGTTTCTAGAAAAGTCAGTACTGACCTGCAGAACCAGATTCCCTGGCCGAGAACACAGCCCTTCGCTGAGGACCCCTCACCTAAACCACCACCCATTTCCCCTCTGCCTCCTCCCTCCCCAGCAGGCAATCTCCTGCTCTCCTTCAAGACAAAACTCCACTCCAGTCTTAACAGTCTCCTCTGTGACTTCCTCCTGGGTCTCCACTGAAACACAACACATTTTAGCAAGAAAATGTCTTACACCATATCTCACTTACACCATCTCACTTAGGGATAAAGTAAGTCCACTGTTTTTTAACCGGAGTACTGAACTCACTGAAGGAAGACTGAGACAAGTCTGAAGGGTAATGTATTAGGCAATAGACACTTGAACTGAAAGGTTCTCAGCTGCAAATCGCAAGGTGCTTGATACTATGCAAATCTACTTGGTCTTATTGTTAGTTATGGGCAGTGGCAAACATTTAACAGCTGGCTCTCCTGAGAACAAAGACCCAGATTTGTGGCATCAGCCAATTTTCATAGTATTAGTAGTACTCCAATCATGTCAGATTTCAACTACCAACTTGACTTCACCCAACTCACCAAATCCTGATAAACGTTGTGAGCTAGCACAACTGTTAATGATGTCTAGAGACAAACCAAAGTGAATATAAATATTTTTTATTTTAAATTTTAATATGTAAAATTGGCAAAAAATACAAGCAGCTCATGGCTTTCTTTTTAAACTGCAGGCACAGATACCAGCAAGATTTTACCCACATATATAAACTGATACTGTCAATGAAAAAAAAAATTGTTTACCTTATAATCAAGGTGCCCATGTATGCTACTGTCCAAACTAGGGCTTCTAAGAGTGAAAGGGAGTAATACTAATAATTATACCACACAACAGGAGTAAACCAAGGCTGTGAGGTTACACCAGTACATGCAGCTTATTTTTTAGATGCACTAACACATTAATGCAGAAAGCGAAGAGGAACTAAAGGGCTTTTTGATGAAGGTGGAAGAGAGTGAAAAAGCTGGCTTAAAACTCAACATTCAAAAAACTAAGATCATGGCATCTGGCTCCATCACTTCATGGCAAATAGATGGAGAAAAAGTGGGAACAGATTTCAATTTCTTGGGCTCCAAAATCACTGTGGATGGTGACTGCTGCCATGAAATTAAAAGATGCTTGCTCCTTGGAAGAAACACTATGACAAACCTAGACAATGTATTAAAAAGCAGAGACATCTCTTTGCCCACAAAGGTCCATATAATCAAAGCTAGGGTTTTTCCAGTAGTCATGTACAGATGTGACAGTGGGACCATAAAGAAGGCTGAGTGCCAAAGAACTGATGCTTTCGAACTGTGGTGCTGGAAAACTCTTGAGAGGCCCTTGGACAGCACAGACATCAAACCAGTCAATCCTAAAGGAAATCAACCCTGGATATTCATTGGAAGGACTGATGCTGAAGCTCCAATACTTTAGCCACCTGATGCAAAGAGCCGACTCACTGGAAAAGATCCTGATGCTGGGAAAGACTGAGGGCAAGAGGAGAAGGGGGCAAGAGAAGATGAGATGATTGGATGACATCATCGACTCAATGGACATGAGTTTGAGCAGACTCTGGGAGACAGTGAAGGACAGGAAAGCCTGGTGTGCTGCAGTCCATGGGGTCTCAAAGAGTCGGACACGACTTAGTGACTGAACAACAACAAATAGTATCTTCTTTCCAAAGGGCTCCTCAAGCAGGCTTAATATTTAATGGTTAAAAAAAAAAGATACTTTTAATTCATGTAAATATACTCATCCATCTCAGCATGTAACTTGTTGAGTACCATGGGTGACTACTGTGCTTGAGGGATGCACACGCGATTTCTGACCTCAGAGAGTTTAAATTCCTATGCAGAGGGTGACATACGTGCCTACAGGTATGAGAGTGACAGTCAAGCGTCACAGCCATGCAGAAGACCAGGAAGTATGAGGTGACAAGGAAAGTGGAGAGGAGGGGGAAGTTGAGGAAAGATTCCTGAAGCAAGGTTGTGCAGAGGGCATTACCCATATAGACCAAATGAGAGTAGAAAGCTTGTTTTGTGGGGAAGAGCAGGGGTGCAGTGTGGTGACAAAGTGTTAGTCGCTCAGTAGTGTATGAGTCTTTGCGAACCCTTGGACTATAGCCCACCAGGATCCTCTGTCCATGGAATTCTTCAGGCAAGAATACTGGAGTGGGTGGCCATTCCCTTCTCCAGGGGATCTTCCCGACCCAGGGATCCAACCTGGGTCTCCTGCATTGCGGGCAGATTCTTCACCGCCTGAGCCGCCAGGGAAGCAGAGATTATAATGATCTGCAAGAGCATACCGGGCAACTGAACACAGGCTGAAACAGTCTGCACAAAATAATGCTTCAGGAAAGGTCATCCTGATGCCACAGTGGATTGGAGGAGGCAGAGACACCAGTCAGAAGGCTTCTCCAATACTCTGGGATCGATGTGGAAAGAGTATGATTAAGGTGGTAGCTAAGAAATGAAAAAAGTTTGCACAAACATCTTCTATAATTGCCTTCATATATGTAAAAGGATTTAAGAGTTTTTGTGTTAACCAATTAACACACCTTCAATGTCTTAAAAAATTAGATTTACGCAAAAAAGTTAGAAGGGTATTAAATACTGCATTCATCCCACTGAAATGAAAATCTGGTGACAAAGCTGAAAAGCGGGCAGTTTACCTGTTACAATCCTGAATACAGCCACTGCAGTTTCCGTCTTTGAGGTAACATGCTGCTCTATTTGAATATAAGATACTTAGATCGGCTGCACTTCCACTTCCTAAAAATCACATTTAATTAAATGGTTACAATCCATTGGCGGAATCACAGTTCAGCAGACGACTGAGGTCTCCCACTGCACCGCGGTCCTACACCCGGGGCTAAGGCGGCTGCGAGCAGCTCCTAGAGGCGTGCCCTTCTCCTGCCGCTTGCCGCCCTCGCTCCTGCGCGTCAGCTTCTTCTGGATGTTGCCCATGGCGCGCGGCTCGGCGGCGCGCCTGGCTCCCGCCGGCTCCGCGGCCTCTGTGGGGAGTGGATGCGGGAAGTGACTGTTTGCATCATCGGGAGCAGCTACCGCGGAGGCCGCGGCGGTGCCAGCACGGAGGCGGAGTCGCTGGCGAAGCTGGGCGGAGCCGGCCCGCCCCTCGCCGGGAGCCGGGCAGTTCCGGCGCCGCTGGAGGCCGGTCAGCCCCGAGGGTCCCGCGCTCCTTTGGACCCTGGGGCTTTCCGGGCTGAGGACTGAAGTCAAGCCCGGATTTAACTCTTCGAACGCCGAAGAGTTTGGGATGTGAAAACCGGCATTTCAAACATCATTCCCTCCATCACAGCGTACGTGTCGAGGTAGACCTTACAAAATTTGTACTGTTCTTACGCTTAACAATTTACAAATGAATGAATGAAGTTACTAAGACTTGAAAACAACAACTGCACTCCCAAGTCAGGGCAGCCTTTCCTTCTGTTAAAGAACTGGGAGAAGATAATTATTTCAAATTATCTTTTTCAAATAATCAAAAAATTATCAATTTTTTTCAAATTATCAAGTCCAAGTGATTTTTAAGGCATTTAAAAATGATTTTAGCAAAGAACTCACATAAAACAGGCACCTAGTTTTTAAAGTGAACCTTAAAAAGTCAGTAAAATTTCCATTACAATACCTTACTCCAAGTAAAAAATTCCTCTGATCTTGACTGAAAGATTTCAAGTATTTATCGGAACTTTAATAATTGACTATTGAACTGATTTTTAACTATGAAAATAACAAATATTTCATTGATGGGTGTCTAAATATTTAAAACAAAGCAATTCATCATTTCAAAGCACTGACTGCAGAGACTTCCCAACTTTCTCTTGTAACAAATTCTAATCTAATTTTTAGTGAATGTATTTCCCATTCTGTTTCATGAATGGTAAAGCCAAAATCTGAAGCACAGATGAGATAGAAAGCCACAAATATATAAATGAAAATCAGTGGGTAGATGATGGTCACCTTAAGGCAGGCAATGAGTGTATAAAAGCACACTAATTAATACAGTTTTCTATACAGCAGAATGACATTCAATTTTGGATCACTAACCAAAAGATGCTTAATTATTAAAACAAAAGATGATCTTGTAATAGTGATAAATCCCTAGATTGAACCCAGGAGAATTATTAGATCAAGGCTCTAGTACTCTTCATCTGGTATTTGCTGCTCAGGTTCCACCCAGAATAAAAATGGATGGAAGCATAAATCAGTGTCAGCAGAAATGACAAGCAGCTAGTATTGTTTTCTGTTCCCTTGTGTGTCATCCCCTCATGTCTGACCAATACTGTTAATAAATAGCTGCTATTTATTTAGAAGTTAATATGAGTTAGGACCTTTACATATATTATCATTCTTAATTATCATTAATCTTCATACTAAGTATTATCCCCACATTACAAAGGAAGAAAGAGAGAAGAAGACTAAGGAATTCTCTGAAGCATGAAGAGCTAAAAACCAACGTAACTGGGATTCAGGATCCAGAGGAAATGAAATGAATGCTGTACCTCTTTCCTTAAGATTGAAATGCCCCTGAAATTTCCCTGCACAGGTAAGCAGAGACCCAAACACGAAAGACGAAAGACGTGTGAGTCCTGGGGGCTATTTAGCTCCCTGGAAGACATTCCAGAGGAGTTGTTCAGAAGATGGCTCCAAGTATAGATCAGAGGAGGCCTCATCTGGAAGACACTGACTTGGGAATTGCTAGCGTAAAGACAATCATCAAAGTTTGGTGGGTGTGAAGGAAGTCACTGAGATCTTCCAAAGGATCCCTGAGAAATAAAACACTTAAAAAGATGATCAGAATCACCAGTGGAGGTGGAGTACCACCTAGAAATGAGAGGGAAAAAACGGGAAGGTGTACTGCTTCAGAAACGAAGAGGAAAGAGTATTTCAGGGACAAGGGAGTCAACGATAACAACTATCAAAGGAAGGAATGACCAATGGTTGTCACTTCATAAAGACTAAAGGAAACCATCAGATCTAAAAACTACAAAGACTTCCGTAGCCTTGGGTGGTGCGGTGGTTTAGGGTAGCTGGTAGAGACAAAAATTCTCAAGGAAATACTAGCAAACTGAATCCAATAGCATATTAAAAGCATTATACATCATGACCAATGGGATTTATCTCAGGAATGGAAGAGTATTTCAACAGTAGAAAGAATCAGTCTATTCAACACCTGCCATTAATAGAACATAGGGAAAAAACCATATGACCATAGCTGACACTGAAAAGGAACTTGACAAAATTCAATACTCTTTCATGATTTAAAAAAAAAAGAAAACCTCAAAAAATGAAGAAGTAAAATTTCCCAACATGATTAAGTACATTAAGTACATTTATGAAAAACACAGCTAAGATCATACTCAATAGTGAAACCCTAAAAGCTTTCCCCTGAAGATAATGTTTTCACTGTAGCTACTCAACGTAAGTTGTAACCTGGTCAGCTGAGACAAGAAAAAGAAAGAAAGAAAAGATGTCCATACTGGAAAGGAAAAAGTAAAACTATCTCTATTCAAAGATAACATGATTATCTTCAGATAGATTCTTTGGGATTATATATTTACATAATACATGCACACACACAAACAAGTTAATAAGAAAATTCAGCAATTTCAGTGTACAAGTTGTTGTTCAGTCACTCAGTAGTGTTTGACTCTTTTTCACCCCATGGACTACAGCACACCAGGCTTCCCTGTCCTCTATCCCCTGGAGTTTTCTGAATGTTGAGTTTTCTGAAATGAACTGGAATTGTTTTTTGAATGCTGAGTTTCAAGTCAGCTTTTTCACTCTCCTCTTTCACCTTCATCAAGAGGCTCTTTAGTTCCTCTTCGCTTTCTGCCATAAGGGTGGTGTCATCTGCATGTCTGAGGTTACTGTTGTTTCTCCGGCCAATCTTGATTCCAGCTTGAGCTTCATCCAGCCCAGCATTTCGCATGGTGTACTCGGCACATAAATTAAATAAGCAGGGTGACAATATACAGCCTTGTAGTACTCCTTTCCCAATTCTGAACAAATCCGTTGTTCCATGTCTGGTTTGAACTGTTGCTTCTCGACCTGCATACAGGTTTCTCAGAATTTTCCACATTTTGTTGTGATCCACATAGTCAAAGGCTTTAGCATAGTCAATGAAGCAGAAGTAGATATTTTTCTGGAATTCCCTTACTTTTTCAATGATCCAGTAGATCCTGGCAATTTTATCTCTGGTTCCTCTGCCTCTTCTAAATCCAGCTTGAATATCTGGAAATTCTTGGTTCATATACTATTGACACCGAGCTTGAAGGATTTTGAGCATAATCTTGCTAGCATGTGAAATGAGTGCAACGGAGCACTGAAGAATTGATGCTTTTGAACTGTGGTGTTGGAGAAGATGCTTGAGAGTCCCTTGGACTGCAAGGAGATCCAACCAGTCCATCCTAAAGGAGATCAGTCCTGGGTGTTCATTGGAAGGACTGAAGTTGAAACTGAAACTCCAATACTTTGGCCACCTCATGCAAAGAGTTGACTCATTGGAAAAGACTCTAATGCTGGGAAGGATTGGGGGCAGGAGGAGAAGGAGACGACAGAGGATGAGATGGCTGGATGGCATCACCAACTTGATGGACATGGGTTTGGGTAGACTCCAGGAGTTGGTGATGGACAGGGAGGCCTGGCATGCTGTGGTTCATGGGGTTGCAAAGAGTCGGACACGACTGAGCGACTGAACTGAACTGATATGGTAATTTCAACATTCTTTCGCATTGCCTTTCTTTGGGATTGGAATGAAAACTGACCTTTTCCAATCCTGTGGCCAATGCTGAGTTTTCCAAATTTGCTGGCACTTGAGTGCAGCACTTTCACAGCATCATCTTTTAGGATTTGAAATAGCTCAACTGGAATTCCGTCACCTCCACTAGCTTTATTCATAGTAGTGCTTCCTAAGGCCCACTTGACTTCACACTCCAGGATGTCTGACTCTAGGTGTGTGATCACACCATTGTGGTTATCCGGGTCATTAGGATCTTTTTTGTACATTTCTTCTGTGTATTCTTGCCACCTCTTCCTAATGTCTTCTGCTTCTGTTAGGTCCATACTGTTTCTGTCCTTTTTTGTGCCTTTCTTTGCAAGAAATGTTCCCTTGGTATCTCTAATTTTCTTGAAGAGTTCTCTAATCTTTCCCATTCTACTGTTTTCCTCTGTTTCTTTGCACTGTTCACTTAAGAAGGCTTTCTTATCTCTCCTTGGATCAACATATAAAAATCTGTTATTTTTATAAACTAGCAATGAAAACTTCTGAAAAGAAATTACAAAAACAATTCTATTTACAATAGTATTCAAAGGAATAAAATATTAAGGCAATTTTAACCAAGGCAATAGGACTTGTGGGATAAATATTGCTGAAAGAAATTAAATGGAAAGATATCTCTTCATCATGGATAGGAAGACTTACTTTTGTTAAAATATCAATACTATACAAAGCAGTCTACAGATTCAACATAATCCCTATCAAAAATCCATAACTTTTTTGGCAGAAATGGAAAAGCTGATCCTTCACTTTGTATGGAATTTCAAGAGGCCTAGAATAGCCGAAACAATCTTGAAAAAGAACAGAATCAAATGACTTACACTTCAGATTTAAAAACTTATGGAAAGTTACAATAATCAAAACAGTGTGATACTGATATAATGATAGACATGTAGATCAATGAAATAGAGAGTTCAGAAATAAACCCATATATCTATGGCCAAGTGATTTTTTTAGGGTAGCGTATATTTTTTAATTTTTATCAAATGGAAATCAATGTGATAGTACAATGAAAACCTCTGAAAACCACATCAGTCAGTCCATCAATCAATCAGGTGGGTTTTTTGTAGTTGTTGTTGTTTGTGGTATAGTTGATTTACAGTATTATATAAGTTTTAGGTATACAAAATAGTGATTCACAATTTTTAAAGGTTAGACTCCATTTATAGTT